GGGGGGGGGCGAACTTATCATCTTATCATTACTACGAACATAAGTAAACAGCATAATTAACATAGTAATTAATACATTGTGAAGGGCGAAATTATCACTGGGCAAAAACTGGTTTTATGGATGAATGGCGAAAATTTAATTGGGTGAAATATCCAGATATACAGTACTTACCAGGTAATTAAAATTAATGTATTGTTTATCTGTGACACTTAATTTGTATATAACACTTAACACTTAATTTGTATGTTACACTTAACACTTAATTTGTATGTTACACTTAACACTTAATTTATCTGTGACACTTATTTTGTATGTAACACTTAACACTTAATTTGTATGTTTCACTTAATATGTATGCATGTCACATTTTTATGTGAAATATAATCAAACAAGAACAAACAGCTGAAGAGATAACTTCAGGAAGTCATGCAATATCATTTTTATTTTTATTTTTTTCATAATATTATCTTTTCTGTTACTTTCCCAGGTCCATCAATATCAAGTTACACGAATAACCTCCAGGACCTAGCCAAACATCTGGAGGTATGTTTAGACAAAGCCAGGAATACTGTGCCCGCGGACAAGCATGCGACCACACCCATCTACCTGGGGGCCACGGCCGGAATGAGGCTGCTCCAGTAAGACTCGGGATAGGAAATAGTAGAAAATTACCTGTTTGATAGCAGTTTGTTTGGTTTGTTTGTGTTTTACGTCCTATTAACAGCTATAGTCATTTAAGGACATGCCAGGTTTTGGTGGTGGAGAAAAGCCTGAGTTCCCGGAGAAATACCACCAACCTAAGGCCAATACCTGGCAACTGACCCACATAGGCCTCGAACCCGTGACTCTGTGGTAGAAGGCTACTGGTAGCAGAACGTCAGACGCCTTAACCACCTTGGCCACTGTTTATACGTAGGGTTTTTTGCTTGTTTGTTTGTTTGTTTGGAGTCTGCAATAGATGTTGACACTAACTGTTTGCACTTTGTAGACAGCAGGTCTACCAGAATAAGATAATCGTAGAACTTTAAGTTGAATTTAAATCTGAATGTAGTATAAATAATGAATTAAACCAGCATGCTCAGAGAATAAGACATTGGTTCAGCATGGCATCACTTTGAAGTAGTTGTGTACTAGACGTTACGAACCTGGTACCTAGTTTCAAACTTGGTACCCAAAATAGCACCAGGGCCCCTCAGAATGTTTTTGGTTTTGGAGTTTGCACTTTTAAACACAAACTGAAAGTGCAGTTGTATTTGAAGAAAAAATTATATTAAACACATCTTTGTATGTCTAACCTTATGTTTGGTCTAGTTGATGGGACTTTGACGCCTTTATTCAGACGAGCCGAGTATTTTGGATTTTATTGTACCACCATTTAAAATTGGCACTTGCTGTTATAAAATTTTACAGATTGATAAACTTGGTCAATGTAAACTAAGAGATGAGCTGCAGCTAGCACTCTGGGTTCCCTGTGGTTAATGTATGTTGACCTGAAGTGTATTTATCTGTGAGATGTAATATCTGCGGGGGATAGTTATAAGATGGCGAGGCAATCATTGTAACAAGGCAATGGTCGTAATGTGCTCAGCCACTGGCATCTTTTGAGCTGTTCTTTTAGATGCCAGCATCAGATCTCATAACACAGGAATAGTTTAGCAAATTCACTGGTTGAAAATACTCAGTTTTAGGGTAGAAAATCAGAAGTCTCCCTTCAACATAAAGTTTTGAATCGATCAGAAAGTGAACAGGAATATTATCTAGGGATTAAATGAAGTGTATTTATCTCTAAAATGTAATATCTGCGGGGGACAGCAATAAGATGGCAAGGCAATCACTGTAGCGAGACAATGGTTGTAACGTGCTCAGGGACAAGAATACTACTTTCATGCTAAATCATTGGGGTGTTACTGCATGCCAATGGTAACAGATTAGTCAGAGCAGTAAATTATGTTACTATCCTTTGAGTCGAAATTTAGGTGTCCACACCGCCTACCACTCAATAATGATTGAGTAGCCCATCCTCAGTAGACTAGATTTACCAGTCAATTGTTAACATCGGATCCCTCGATCTTAAAGTGAGCTGGAATATAATCTTGGGATTAAATGAAGAATATTTAGAATTAGAAAGGATGAGCTATGTTACCCTGACATTAATTCTTTGTCTGCAATGTAGTGTAAATGCTGATCAATACCTACTGAAACACTGTTGCTAAACCTATAGGTCAAAGGGGAATAACTCTACAGAATTCTTGGAGCCAAGCTCCCACTGCATTTATAGCAAAATGTGTTGCTCCAAGTCAAGGGCTGGTCGCTTTATTCATACTTGCCAACTCTCCTTATGTTGGAGGGAAAGACTCCTGATTTTTTACCCTAAAACTGAGTATTTTCAACCAGTGAATTTGCTTAACTATTCCTGTATTCTAAGATCTGATGATGTCATCTAAAATTCATCTAAAATAACAGCTTAAAAGATGCCATTTAAAATTGTTATATTTATGCTTTTAACTCTGAGCTTGTGTAATCTCCCCCATGGAAATTTTGAAAAGTTGGCATGTATGTTTATTGAATATTAATATACAGTTTAAAAGTGGTTTTTTTTTAATGCGTGAATGTTATTTTTTCTATAAAATGACAATTCTAACAATGTGTAAAGATTGAAAGATATTTCTGTTGTCATGGCAATATAAAGTGTATTTACAAAATGCACTTCATAGACAACTTAAGGTCATAGGAGTGTATTGATAAACGGAAGTAGGAAGTACATCCCTAGTTGAAAATCCAATGTAGGGAGACAGTATCACAATTTCCGCATATTCTAATGTTTAATTTTAAACTGATGAATATTGTATGCTCTCAATATTAAAGTATTTCAAAGCAATGCAGGCATTACTCAGGTTTTCAGGTTTTATCAATGAGCCACATGTATCCATTTTTCAGTACTTCAGGAAAACGGCTACCTATTTTACTACTGTGAAGTTTTTCAAGAAAGATAACTCTTACCTGCAATTACAATGTGCATATGGTTTTATTATTAAATGTCAATTTTCAATCATTTATAGATAATTTATTTGACATAATTTCAGCATTTTTTAAATTGATATACATTAATGCAATACTAATCTATGGCAGTACAATGTATCATTGTTATTGACATTATTTGGCAAAACATTGTATCTTTCATTTTTTTTTTCAAAAGTCACTCCTTTTTACATAATTTCCATTTAAATTCCTTAAAATTATGACAACCTATATTTTTTTCTTGCAGAAAATTTTCTTTACTTCAAGATTTTCATTTCACCGACAATTTATATCCTTAACAGTGCAGTCAACACCAGTCAGAGTGAGGCCATTTTGTCCGTCATCCGAACTTCTATTAAGAAATACCCATTCATGTTCAATAACGCCACCCAACAGGCTCGAATCATCTCTGGTGACGAGGAGGGGCTGTACTCCTGGGTGACCAGTAACTATGTAACGGGATCCTTCGGTGTGGTGAGTTTACAAGCTTCTGTGTGCCGTATAGTTGCGAATTTAAAACCCTCGTGAATATTTTAAAATTGTTGCCATAACATCCGCACAGCACACGTCTGTGATACCAGTTTAGCTGAAGCTACTAGGCCAAAACATCGTTTTGAAAGAAATACACTATGAAAAAAGGTTCGCCAACAACAAACACAAGAATTTATTGAAAACAACTCACTTACCTGGTAGCTGGTACACACTAGGAACACATATACACCTGTGTCCAGTAAAATATAATGACCTCAGGTTGTTCGTTGCTAGTAGTAACAGCTAGGCACTCTTTGTAGGGTGTTCCGAAATAGACCTACAGAAATTGTGATTCGCGAAATTAAATTACTTGCATATTTGTATATTGTCTTAATTGAAGTACTTAAAATCTGTAAAATGACATCAGCTTAGGGCGCTGAAACCTGTCTTACTTCTGACATCAGTTAATTGTTTCAACAGTGAAAATGTTTATTCTGATTATACAGGTCCAGTTTATGTAAAAATGTGTATAGACTTACATGAAGATCTGGTTTACACAAGTCTGTGATTTATGTTAGGGTTCGGTTTAAACAAGTTCTAATGTGTACAAGTTTCTAGATTATGCAGATTTCAGTTATGATAAAACCTCTTTTTACTGGTTTGCAGAATAAAAGCATCCAGTTCAAATGAAATCTTTTTTTACCAGTTTGTAGAATGTACATGGTACAGTTAAGACAAGATCTGGTTTATACCAGTTAACAGATTGTATAGGGTTCAGTTTAGACAGGTAATGTTATTTCTGATTAATGAACTTTCAGAAAAAGCCACTGTTACAAGGAGCAGGTAAATCCTGGCAGATGACAGCCTCTGGAGACGGAACTGTCGGGGCCATGGACCTAGGTGGCGCTTCTACACAGATGACGTTTTACCCCGGTAGCATTGCCATGCCTCCTGCTTACGAAAAAGATTTGACTCTGTTTGGGTTGAATTATTCCATATACACTCACAGTTACCTGTGCTACGGAGTTAACGAGATCACAAGGAAATACCAGGCACTTCTCATCAAGGTGAGCTATATTGACAGGTGGCTTATTAGAGTCCCAGAATTAACAACGTAACAAAAGCGTTCAGAGCCCCGGTCCACCCATGTAAGTTACATGAGCTCATTAGAAACACCAATAAAGGCACCAAGTCTCAGAGTTAATGAGATTGAAATGGAAAAAAAAAGTCATCCCCTTTTAGTCAGAAGTTCTTTAACTCATTCACCCCTGAAGTTTCATAATGAACTATTCCAACCTTTGAATTGGAAGAGTTCAAATGTGTCTTCAGGGGTGAATGAGTTAATCTAGATCAGTGTCCTAAAAACTACTTATACAGTGTTAAAATAGGGAGTAACGGTACAATGTATTATATTTTTTTTCAGAACCAGAACTACACGGACACTGTAAGCAACCCCTGTGGCCCGCTGGGTAAAAACATCAGCGTCCCTTACACCGAAGTGTTTGAGGCGCCCTGTACCAGTGACTCCAGGCCATCAGGCATTGACAGGGTCAGTATCACAGGTCCCTGGTTCATCAACACGAACATATTAATCAGATGAAGTATCAGTAATGTATTAGAGCATCCTCGATACTCCAGGGGTTACGCTCACTTTTGCTTGCTGGACCCCTGGAATATCTCATAGCAAAGTTGAAGGCTCAGTGTATGTGTGCTACCTTGTGGATGAGACAAGAAGACTAGTTTGATACTTTGATATACATAAAAAAATTCTTGCGTTCGCGTAATGATACATTTATTTGTTCTGAAGTCAGGCCTTGCTCCTCTGTAATCTTCAAAGAATAGGTATCAGCCTAGTGATTGGTCAGGTTTTTACCTGTGACTAATCAAATAACTAGCCGCGTGCCTTCAATATTGCTTTGACATATTTCAGGCGTGCAGAGAGCGAATGTGAGCGTAACCCCTTGAGTATCGAGGATGGTATTAGGGAGGTTAGCATAGAAAGGGTTATTTTATACCCAAGAGTTAAATTTTATGTCATTATGTATTGGTGTGTGGGGATATAGAAATTCTGCTGAAAATTATAGTGTAAAAAACAAATGTACACAATGAAGTACAATTTGTCAAAATACAGGTTTATATACAACTGACACACAAGAAACAGTTAACATGTTGATTACTCTTGTTAGTAACATATTTACAAGCATCAATACATTTGGTGCATCAGGGCCATCCAATGATTTACCTACCATATCTGTATCAACTTTGCATTTATGATAATATTTAAATAAGCTAGACTCCTGGGGCATTGAGAGAAGCAGCTAGACTCTGAAAATGTCTTCAGAAAGCAACTAAGACTCTGAACACCCCTGGAGAAGCCACCATTATAAAGTGATATGAGTTTTATACAGAAGAATGGTAAGTAATCACTTTACAATTGAAAAGGATGCTGTTTTTGTTGTCAGAATACAACATTCCAGCTGGTGGGAGAGAGTGACAATGCCATGTGCCATCAGACAGTCCAGCAACTCTTTAACATGAGTACTGTCTGTCCTCAGCCTCCCTGTACATTTAACGGCACGTACCAACCAAAGGTGTACGGCAAATACTATGTAAGTAACCGTCAGATTTGAAGTTGTTTCATGGTGGGTTGTAAATAGCCATCAGTTTTAGAGTTGTTTCATGGAGGGTTGTAAGTAACCATTAGTTTTGGAGATGTTTTTAATGGTGAATTGTAAGTAACCATCAGTTTTGGAGTTGTTTCATGGTGAATTGTAAGTTGCCATTAGTTTTGGAGTTGTTTCATGGTGAATTGTAAGTAACCATCAGTTTTGGAGTTGTTTCATGGTGAATTGTAAGTAACCATCAGTTTTGGAGTTGTTTCATGGTGAATTGTAAGTTGCCATTCGTTTTAGAGTTGTTTCATGGTGAATTGTAAGTTGCCATTAGTTTTGGAGTTGTTTTTTTATGGTGAATTATAAGTTGCCATTAGTTTTAGAGTTGTTTCATGGTGAATTGTAAGT